TAATCATAAAAAGAGAGAAATCAATTAGAGAGAAGAGTACGGAATGAAAACCTTTCAGTCATATGCACAGTTAAACAGAAATGTTTGAGCCTGGATTTAAACAGCGTCAAAGAAGAGTCTGTCTCACATGTTCAGACTGTTCCAGGTTTTAGCTGCGTGAACCTGAAACGCTGACTGCCCTTGTTTAGTCCTGACTCTGGGCACCAGCAGGATTTCAATGTACAAGCTAGGAATATGCTTCGTGATAAGGTGCATTGTAAAACAAATGTATACTAATAGTAAAATATCATAAAAATGAAAAGTCATGCATTAAATAAGGTGAAAAGTAAAAACAGAAGCACTTTGACTGAATATAGATACAAACATAAATAAGGTCCAGTTCATTTGAATTGGGGTTACAGGTCATCAGGAATCTAACAATATGATTCAAGAAAAAAATGTAGATCACAACCATCCTTGTGTAAGTGGGACATCTCATTTTTACTATATTTAGGGTAACTAAGTAGCTCTAAATGGGCCCTTCAATTAATTTTTTTTTTAAACTAAAATGCACTGGAAAATTAGTATATAGTAAGTTTAAATGTATTAGTAGAGATAAAAATTGTCATTTGAAGTGAGACTTGAAAAGAGTAACAACTATTTGGGCATCTTCTAATCCATTGTGTAAAGTGATATAGTTTAAATTATGCAAAATAATGTGCATATTTTACAGTTTTCAAATGGTATAATGAGGAAAAAGGTCAAACAAACACAAAAAGGAGGCCTGTTTGTTCTATTGTAAAAACTCTAGTTGCATATTTACCACACAGACAATTTTCAGTTTTACTTGAGGTTCTGCTGCTTTATATTTCCCATGGATAAGTTATTGCTTTGGTTAGAATGTTCTACAATATGGCATTAAAGTCTCTTACCAGGCCAAATGACAGGTCAGATCTTTGGAGGCCTTACTTAAAGTATTTATGCATGTACTTCCAAAGTATTGTTAAAATTATCTCTGATATATAAATGCAGGTTAAATTACTTCATATCATCATATTGTGGAACATTCCAGGCAAGACAACAACATCTCCATGGAGACAAGCAGGTGTTGGACCCTCCATCAGAAAGGTTACATAGAACTAGCATTGTCATGATACTAAAACGCAATACTAAGGAATAAACTTTATACTAATACTGATTCTGATATGAGAATGATACATAAAAACACTTTATTTAAACAGTAGAATATAAATTTCCACATTAAATCATTGTACTTTCTTTTATATTACCACATGGTCTCATATCTGTGTACTCCCTCAGTGGTCCAGGTAGGCTCCATAGTGGTCTGAGGACATATACTAGTCTATGTGCTCTTATACTTGTTCAGATACAGCTTAAGCTCATTGTAAAGCTTTTTCAAAAGGTTAATTTCTGTGCTGTGAATGTGACTTCTTTAGTATCGATACTCGCTCAAATCAGTATCTACTTTTGGTACTAGTTTTACTAGGGATGTAACAATAACCAAAATATTGTGATATTGTATTGTCAGAGTTCTCCCAATAATATCGTGGACCATCATAATATATCGAATTGCAAGTCATTTTGCTCAATTTAAGAGTTACGTTGCAGTAATTGCTAAAAAAACACAGAGGGAACTATATAGACCATGATCCTTTTCTCCATTTTAGTGTGTAGACTATAAGAAGACATAACAGTTCCAAGCACTTTTGAGTCTTAGTTCTTTGGAGTCTTGTCAAGGCATTTTAAGAGGAAAAAGTAGCATAATAACCTCCACAAAATATTGTAATAAATATCGTACCATGAGATGTATATCAAAACAAAACAAATATACATATATTTGTTGTTGTCTGTTAGATTGTAATGCAATGGAGGTACTGTGCAATTATTGCTTATAATGTACAGGAAATGAGAAGTCTGTATTTGTTCTTCGTTAATTTGGGACTGTAGAAAAAAGGGGTGGGGTTAAATAAGTATTTACTTCCTCCCACTCCTTTTTCGGACACAAGGAAAATTCTGCGTAACATTTATTTTGCCTGTTATTATAGAATAGGAATAGTTACTTTTTGTGTTATATCTATGTATTTACGTTTTTGTTTTTTTTTTATTTTGTTTTTTTTTTATTTATGTTCTATGTATTACTGTCCGAAATAAATAAATAAACATAAACATATCGTGAAAATATCGTACAGAGAAATTTGGATATTGTTACATCCCTAATCGTGAGCCTCCGCACCATATTGTGAGCTTTCCCACTATTGCTCAATAAATACCGTGCTGCGAGGTTCATACTGTGACGATATTGTATCGTGAGACTTGGATATCGTTACACCCCTAAGTTTTACTATCGATTATAATAATATGTGATTTTCAATAGTTTGGCCAACCCTACATAGAAAACCTATAAGTAACTCATAATTAGTATCAAAATTGGGTATTGAAAGGTAAACATAACTGAGTAAATCTAACATTACTGCCTGATAAAATTCCTTATAAATCACTTGTGCCGAGTCATAGCCTTTCCCAGTGGATTTGAATGGGTTTGGTCTTACAGTGAGTGATCCACGATTCAATTATGTAATATCCAGCAGGATGAGGGATTCTGGGAAACACCTGATACGATATCCCATTTGATGCCGCAGTGTGTCAGGCCGGCCTGTGCTCTGAGTGCTGCAGTTGTATTAAACAGATCAAGCAGAGGGCATGAGAGATAGGCCTAGTATTACACTGCACTATTCGCAATGTGTGGGAATGTATGAGCCAAGGAACAAAATTATGTGCAGCTTGATCAAGACCGTGGGCCCTGTATTATGCAAAATGGACTCTTATGAGCTTTAAGTCATGTTATACTGTTGTTTCCTGCTTGAAAACATACCCGGAGTTGTGTTTTCTTTCATTCACACATCTGAGTAACCCTTTATTATTAGTCTGTCTACATCTCCAAAGCTATAAATATTTTGTGATGTAATGAATAAAGCGATAGTTTTCAAGTCAACAGCCACTAATGTATATTTTATTTAGTTAAGATAGGAAATTCCAGGGATGAAATGACTTAAATGTTTCTAGTGAAGGTGTCTGGAGTTTAAAACACAGTGGAGCCGTTCCTGTGTGACCACATGACATCACAAGGTGGAACTGAGTTTGAGACACAGACTGCATAAAGAAGTGGACTGAGCAAGTGTGATGTCACCCACAGTGTTCAGCTCCACTCATATGAAGCTCCCAACGCTAACAGTTACAGGAGCGAATCTGGATTTGATTGAGGTTGTTAAATGCGCCAGCCCTTCTCACCGAAAAGTGGGAAGGGGACTTTATTCAAATGATTATTTTTCTAGTTACATGATTTATTCAGCATTTTATCTCTCTCTCAAAAAAAAAAAAAAAAAAAGAATAAATAAATTAAAATTTTAAATTAGTCTATAAATATGTACCTTAGAGCAGTGCAATGTATAAAACATAATATGAATAAAATATACTTTGAGCATAAAATAAGGCATAGAAAAAACATTAGTATATCCAAAATAAACTATATATCCAGCTGTTCTACAATCTCTATATTTGAAAAAATTAAATAAATGTTCTTATTTGTATAAAAAATATCCCAAAATGAACTTTGCTAAGCTTTCGTTTCAATTCGATTATATGAGTTTGGAGATCGTTTGACATACAAATCGAAATTGCGATCAAAATTCAATTAATTGCACAGAGACAGAACAGACTTTAGACTATAAACAGGCTGAATATATGTGTGATTAGTGGGAGATTTGCCTTATTATCTATACAATAAGTTAAATTCATAATATTGTGGTTATATTGGTTGTATTTTATTATTTTTAGTTCTTGATAATAACAATAACTGGCCTAATGCTGGTATATATTGGCTAGACAGAGGATTAGAGGCCTCCAGAGTATGTTATGATGTCATATTTTCCATCTGTTTCTTGCTATGATTGTGGTACCAAATATACAAATATAGTGACAGAAATGTCTAAATGTATTGTCTAGTTATTGTCTGTCCCCACAACATACAAACACATTTGAATCATGGACCAGCGGCTTGTAAAAAAAGAAAAAAAAAGAGCCCACCATGATCTACAACAAGTTCATGTTAAAGGACCCATATTATATTTGTTTCTTATTTATGTTATAATGTTGCTTACTCATCACAAACATACCCAGAGTTGTACTGTTCCACCTTGTGATGTCATACAGGAAGAGCTCCACTTTGTTTTTAACCTCTGTACACCTTCACTAATTTCAGCACTAGAATTTCCAAATTCTACTGAACAAAAGGTAAAAGGAAGCTCTTAACATGAAAGCTACAAGGTGGGACAGAGCATTTTGAGCTTTGGAGATGCAGACAGACTAATAATGCGGGATTACTCAAACATGTGTAAACAACATAAAACAAAACACAACTCCAGGCATGTTTTTGGTGAGGTAACAGCATTATAACATGGCTTAAACCTCATAAGAGTCAATTGTGTGTAATATATAAGACCTTCAAGTTTTGATTAATTGTATTATGATTGAAAATGAATACGTGCAAAGAGTTATATAAGAGTTATAAGAGTCTTACCTGAGCCTCATGGTGTCCACCTCTCAATCTTCATTTAGGAGACACATCTGCACATCTGCAAAATTAGTAGAGTTGAGACCTGAGTGGAAGCTAATATATTCAAATATTTGCTATTTCTGAAGTGCTACAATCTTGTTGTATAAGCCAATTTTCTTGCCTCGATTACACAATACGCTTTTCTCCAATATTGTATGAAGATGTGATTCAGGGCACTGTTGAATCTCCCTCTTGATGCTGGACAATTTGCGCACATTTGTTTACGTTTTACATAAATAAAACTTAAAACCACATGGCTAATTTGCATAAACTATAAGCACCAAAAAAACAGCTCACTCCTTGCGCACTGAGGCAGTCAGCTTCTGTCGGACTAAAGGACACAACTCAGTAGAATAAGAGTGTTCTTCATGTGACAGAGGACGTGCTGATGCTGGTGAGTCGTGTTGGAGATGTTCTTGTTGAACTTTACACGAACGCCAGGTTTAAATCCTTGCTTCCTTGCATTTTGGTGGTGAATTACTTCGTGGCGCATAGACCTTGACACAGACCCATAAATCAAAAACACCGAAAAGGCAGTGTGTGTTGAGTTGATGCAGAACTAAACTTTGCCCTTAAAACTGGGCTTTAGGAGCACTACAAAAAACTTTAACGCTCCCAAAATTATGTTTTCTCAGACTGGAATTTTTGGTCCATAATGATAGATCACTCAGCCCTAATAGAAATCAAGTTTGAAATGTTAGTATCGTAACAACACTACTTTGGACATAAGACAATGCAGTTGTAGCAATTTCTCTTGCCTGTTTCTCTTGCCTGTAATCTCCCCACTGTCTCTGAGGTCTTGTGTAAGGATGCAACAATCTCTCTGTATGATATTTTCTCGATATGCATCTCACGATACGATATTTATTTATTTTGTGGAGGCAGAACTGTGAATAAGCTACTTTTTCTTCTTAAAATGCCTTGAGATTTAATCCAAAGAACTAAGATTTAAAAGTGTTTAGAACTGTTATTTCATGTAGTCTGCAGTGGAATGGAGCAAAGGATCATGGTCTATGTAGTTCCCTCTGTTTTTTTTTTTAGCTATTGCTGCACCATAGCCATTAATTTAAGTGAAGAGTCTTGTAGTTTGATATATTGTGATGGTCATGTTATTATTATGAGACCTTTGACAATACGATATCACGATATTTCGATTATTGCTCCATCGTTAGTGTTGTGTTGCTTTCTGTGGACAGACACAGGGAGACAGGGAGGGGCAGTGGTGGCATGGGGCCTCTCCTCTGCAGTACCTCCTCTGCGAGTTTGCCCGGCCAGTTTCTCTCTCTCTTTCTCTCTCCACGGGAGCGCTTAGTCAGCACGAGACAGCATCGCACCATTCCTCACAGTCTTAACGTATACGGGACGCTGTGAAACATAACTGTACTGAGGCGGGCTACTACAGACAGATATAAATATTGTTTGGAAGAGATGCAAAATTAGAACATTGGAATCATTTAAAGGTGCATTGTGTAACTTGCTTTGTCTGTTTCACAGCTTGGCATTAAACCTTTCTATCTTCATGGACACCAAACCAGATCAAGGTACAGGTATTCTGACTGCAAGGTGCTCGCAGTCAGAATGCCTGTTTTGTAGATTTTTGAGCTATAAAACCACCTGTGATTGAATAAATGTAAGATAGAGCTTTTCAATACTGTGGAACATTCCAGGCAGAGTGAGAAAGTGAGATACTGAAGTGAGAAAAAGCTACACAATGCATCTTTAAATCAAAATATACAGATATTTTTTAAAGCTTATAAAGTGATTTTTATAAAGTTATAGTTATAAAGCTTATAAAGTGAAGAGTTTTTTTTTTTGTTTTTTGTTTTTGTTTGTTTTTCCAGCACTTTCAGTTTTTTGTTTTTTAGTTTCAGTTTTTTCAGATCCTGTTTCAGTTTTTAGTTCTTTTGCTTTTGGTTATATATTGGGTTACATTTTTTTGTTTTGAATCATTATGTCAGGTTGTATTTATTTATCTTCATTTATACATATTTAAATGATAAGAATGTTGACTCTCCCTCTCTGACACCTACAAAAATGGCCAACCCCAATTGTATGCATTAGTAAGTTATAATATAAAAAGCTGTGCAATATTTCTAAAATCCATGCACCATGACAATTGTCAGTTGCTTAGATAGTTTGGGCTATTTGTTATAGTGCTATTGCTTGATCCAGATTAACTATAAACACTTTTCAGTACCATCTCATTCTTCTACAATAAAACATTGTATGCACAGTTATAATGGCCTGATTAAAGGTGAATTCATGTATTATTTGTTCATTCCTTTTTCAAAATAAAACCAAAAATAAGAAAAAAACATAAATAAAATTTTTCAGTTTAGGATTTTGTGTTTAAATGAATAATGGAAAAAAATGGTTTCCCGTTTCCGTGACGCGTCCGGACTGAACCAGGACTGATCCCTGGACTGAACCTGGTTGATCATAACTGAGACCAGGACCAGACCAGGACCAGACCAAGACTGAGAATAGGACCAGGACCAGGACTGAGACTGAAACCGGGGCCAGACTGGGACTGAGACCAGGACCAGACCAGGACTGAGATTGGGCCTAAGACCAGGACTGAGACTTGTTTAGTCCTGGTTTAGTCCTGGTTCGGTCTGTATGCGGCATCACAGTTTAAGTCATGGAATTAAGCAGGAAACAGCTGTTATACATTTTTGCCATTATTCATTTAAACACAAAATCAAAAACTAAACCGAGTCGTTGGAGACAAATAATGAAGAAAATAATAGCTTTTTTCATTTTCTTATATTTGGTTTTATTTTGAAAAATGAATGAAGGAATGATACACAGATTCGGGCACTGTATCTGATTTTGTACCTTCTTTAAAACACGTAGCCATCCCTCTCATCCTAATTATTCACTGCACTGAGTTGATTAGCACTTTTCAGAACTCTCAAGGACCAGATTGGAGTTTTGCCATCACGGTAATGCTTAGAACAACTAGCATGCTAACAGTGCACTTCCCAATTCTCAGACACTCCTGGGTTAAAACTAATTTTTCTCAACTAGACAGCCACTCTAGTTCAGCCACTTTAAGACTAACCTAAAAATCATCACGCTAATCACTCGATCAATACCTCCCATAATGCACCTGTATTCGCGCTCTTGAGTACGTGCCGAGTGTCCTTGCGTTTCTAACGTCGCAAACAGACAGGTCAGCGCTAACGGTGACATTGACGTAGCACCAGTAGCCACGTTAGCTCACATGCTGACGGAGCACTCGCGGTTTCTCACAAAAGGACAAATAAGCAGGTGCAGGACGGGCCCCTGACTCATGCGTTTATATAGGAGCTTCTGCGGACGCCGTGTACCGTCTGTGTGAATTATAGATATGAACGGAGGGAGGGCGGGAGGGCGAGCTGCAGCGGTGCATGCAGAGGTGAGGGGATGCTGCATGAGGAGGCCTGCTGCTGGTCGGGGCTGGTGGAGGTGGTGGAGGGGCTGGTGGTGGAGGGGCTGGTGGAGGTGGTGGAGGGGCTGGTGGTGGGGGCTGGTGGTGGTGGTGGTGGTGGTGGTGGTGAGGCTGGTGGGTCTTTCTGAGGCTGGGGTTGGTGCAGCGGCAGTGGGAACAGAGCCAGGAAAAAAGAGAGGACTGCAGAGGAGACTACTGCAGAGTCCCGGCACAGAGCAGCAATGATTGTGTCTGGGGAGAGGGAGGGAGGCAGGGAGGGAGAGGTAGAGAGAGAGATGGACGGTGGGATAGGGGGAAGGAAAGAGAAAGGAGAGAGAAAGAAAGAGAGAGAGCGAGAGATAGAGGGGGAGATAGAGAAAGAGAGGGCGAAAGGGGAGGGAAGGAGAGAGAGAAAGAGAGGGAGAAAGGAAGGTTAGGAGAGGGAGAGAGAGAGGGAGGAGGGAGGAGGAGGGGAGGGAGAGGTAGAGAGGGACGGCGGGTGGGATAGGGGGCAAGAAAAAGAAAGAAGAGATAAAGAAAAAGAAAGGGAGAGATAGAGGGGGGAGAGAAAGGGAGGGATAAGGGGAAGGAAGGAGAGAGAAAAAAGAGAAAAGAGAGAGGAGAGAGAGAGAGAGGATAGGGGGAGGAAAGGAGAGGGAGAGAGGGGGTAGGAGAGAGACAGCGAGAGAAGGATGGAGAGAGAGGGGGGTTAGGAGACACAGAAAGAGAGAGGGTAGAAGAGAGAGAGCAAGGGAAGGAGAGGTAGCAAGAGAGGGGGGGGGTTAAGGGGAGAGGAGAGAGAGAGAGAGAGAGAGAGAGAGGGAAGAAGAGAGAGCAAAGGAAGGAGAGGGAGCAAGAGAGAGAAGAGGAGGGAGAGAGTGGGATAGGGATAAGGGGAGGGAAGGAGAAAGAGAGGGTTAGGAGAGAGATTGAGAGAGAGTGGGAGTGAAGGAAAGCGAGATGGAGTGAAGGAGAGAGAAAGGGGGAGAGAGGGAGAGAAGAAGAGGGAGAAAGAGAGGGAGGAAAGAAGGGAAGCTGGTAGAGGCGAGATGTGATGAGCAAACTTAGAATCATACCTGACTTAGGTCTGTCATTATAATCACTGTATCGACTTATCGCTCAATAAATGAATCACTTTTTTATAGGGTCAATATTTCTCATGGGCATTTTCTCTTTGTAGTAGTAGGATTATTCTTGTAAATTTTCTGTACTTAAATTAATTTCAGTTTAAGAGAGTGGACTAAATAACTGACTCGTTATAGAGCATCATTGCATCTTGTACTTTTTTTTTTTTTTACTGTAAATTTAGAATAGTCTCTTTATCGTTTATTGTCTCTATTCTCTCCAGCAGTGAGTTTTCCTCAATATATGTCCTAGTGACAGGCCTAACCTGAGTGAATTATAATGTGGTTTAATATCGCTTAGTATTTTTGGACATGTGTGTTGTGAAGTGTCTAGCCCAAGGACACAACTACAGCACTGGTCAGGCCTCTTTATCTTCTGCTGCCCCTTCGTTCTTACATCTGTGCTTATGTGACCTTTCCAACCACCCGCAATTACACAGTGAACACATTGTTGGTATATAGTCTTGCCCAAGGACACAACAACAGAAAATGAAGAATGGTGGTAATTCATAACAGTAACCTAGCAACAATAATATTTCCAAGGGCCATGATATGATTCGACATATTAAACAAAAATTGTGGGGGGTCCATCGCCTGCTTGTTTCTATGGATATATCATTTCTCTGCCTAGAATGTTCCACAGTACGACAATAAACAGTTCTACCTCACATTTATGAAATTACAGATGGTTTTATAGCTCAAAATACCATGAAAAACAGGCATTCTGACTGTGAGCGTATTGCCACTCCACAGATCTGACCTGTAACTTGATCTGGTTTGGTCATGACGACAGAAAAGTTGAATACCATACTGTGAAATATTCTAGACAAAGCACATCATATCTCCATGGAGAAAAGCATTTGACAGACCCTCCACCAGACAGAAACATAATGATGATGTAGTACTTCAGTTCCTCACTGTTAAACAAATAAAGGCCTGTTTTAAAATCCCATGGTGCTTTGCAGGTTGCTCCAGTATGGACGTGATCGTGCCCACTAACATCAACGCGCTCAACGGGACCACCGTCAAAATCCCTTGCACTTTCACTTCCTGTTACAAAATGGACATCACCAAATTCGCCATGAACTGGACCTACCAAGAGACGCTCAACGACACAGAGGAGATGGTAATGTGGACGTCCCTGATCTGTTTTTCAGAATTTGATCTGACTCCCCCCTCGTTGGTGAAATTACATCATCTAAACAGTGACTTTTGATTACATTTTGAGTCTTGAGGATTGACAATATAGTGTTGATAATCTTTCCTAATGCATTCCCAGCATCCTGCTTATTCAGTAATGCCAACAACTATCATGTAAACAGCACACTTTCTGATTTACCGACCATAAGACACTTTACAATAAGATACAGACAGTACATAGATGTATCATTGTATGTATGTATGTACTTGTATGTATCATATTTTATTTGTCTGTACTGCAGTGGTGGAACATAAAGAAGTAAAAAAGTAAAAAAAAAAAAAAAACGCAATGAAGTAAAAGTAGTTTCTGAAGTTTTTGAACAGGACTGAAAAGTATTTTTTATTATTGTCTCAGACCGGAGGAAGAGGCTGACACTTATCAAGTTCATACTTTGAACAAACAGAAATATGCAAAAAATTAAAAACAAGTAGTCTGATTCAATTGTTTCTATTGAACAAAATTCAGCACTTTGTTTTTTATTTTTATTTTTTAATCAAAATCACTACATTTGAAGCTTTTATTTGATCTCAATCTCTGCACAACATTTACTTTTAACTCTTTAAGTACATTTTGAAACTGGTATTTTAATAGTTTTTTTTTGTTTTTTTGTTTTTGTGTTTTGCTCTGGTATTGGTTCTTTTAACAAAACTGAATACTTCTTCCACCACTACTGCACAGACTTCAGAATAGTAATATCAACATCATTATTATTATTAGTCCAGCAAATATGGGCATCCTTTTACAAAATATCCATATCAAACCATCCCTCTTTTTCATTTCTAATCTAAATCTCTTTTATCATCTACCTGTGTGCAGTTCATGACGTACTACAGGAAGAAGGGCATGGTGGCGCTGCGCTCGGACCGCTTTGGGGACCGAGTGATATTTGCGGGGAACCTGGACAAGAATGATCTGTCCATCACACTATCAGACGTCCAACTGGAGGACGAGGGCATCTACAACTGCTACGTCCGAAACCCTCCTGACCGCATCCAGGGTCAGGGGGTCATCAAGCTCACTGTGGTCACTGAGCGTAAGCAGATTCACATGGTTGATTTTAGTTCACATGTATGGTTTTAATTCATATAAAGGTGACTCTTCTGTTGGGAAATGTTACTTGTTATGGCATTAAAGGTCCTATATTACACAGACTTGACTCTTAAGACATGTTACAACGCTGTGCTCTTCTCAAAAACACACCCGGACTTGAGTTTTGTTTCATTCACACATGTTTCAGTATTTTTATTATTCGTCTGTCTGCATCCTCAAAGCTCTGTTCCACTTTGTGATGTCATGTAGTGGTATTATATCTGAGTAAATACAAAACAGATATGTTCAATGCTATACAATCTGGACAAATCAATCTCCATGGAAAAGTTACATTCTTCTAAACTGTCACGGTCACACTCATTGGTGGTGAGTTGACTCTGAAGCCACTGTTACTACTACTACTACTACTACTACTACTACTACTACTACATCTTCTTCAGAGCAGACGATATGGCAGCATTATCAGCTACTACTTCCCCAAAGAAATATTTTTAGTGAGTTAGACAGAATAATAGTAATTCTATTTTCGACAACTTGCTACAACCAAGCTTTCAAAGTAACTAAAATTGTCTACAATAATAAACATATATTCATTAAAGACACTTTTTCACACTTCTCACAATTTCTTCTGTTCTTCTACACTTACTTTATACATTCCTGGCAGTCTAATTATTCACCACAATGAGTTATAAGCGTATTTCACAATTTTCAGAGGCTGGATCAGATCGTTTTGCCATTACTGTAGTGCTAACTACAACTAACATGCTAACAGGGCACTTTCTGATTAATGGAGGATAAAACGCTTTATAACTGTCAGCACACAACAGTCTCAATTCTGCTCTAAAGGTGCATTGTGTAACTTTACTAGTGAAGGGTCCATCAAATGTTTTTCTCCATGTAGATGTTATTTCTTTGTCTGGAATGTTTCACAGTATAAACTAACAGTGAAAAGTTTTAGAACACCACACTTTTTCCAGTTTTTTACTGTTTACTGTTAACCAAAACATATTCTAAGCTTTTGATCCATCAAAGTGTCCACCTTTGGCAGATATAACAGCTGAACACACCCGTGGCTCATTCTTTTTACAATAGAAATCAAATATTCTTCAGAAAGTTCTTCCCAAGTCTGTTGCAGAAGTTCCCATAAATGTGTGGCACTTGTAGGTTGTTTGGCTTTCACTCTTCTGTCCAGCTTATCCCAAACCAGCTCGAGCCGGTTTAAGTCTGGAGACTGTGCTGGACACTTCATGTTTTAAAGCTCACCATCTTGTTCTTTTTTCTGAGGTAGTTTCAGCAGAGCTTGGACTTGTGTTTTGTTATCTTTTATCTGTTTTAACCTGTCTGTTCAGTTCTTACCTTTGTACCATTTCAAGCTCTACATTGGACTTGCACGACTTAAATTGCAATAAATGACTGAAAAAATTAGGGTGTTCTAAAACTTTTGACCAGTAGTGTCGCATTAAATCTTTACCTTCAAACCATACCAAGTTACAGGTCAGATCTATGGAGATATATATGTGCTATAATTGAATAAGTGTAAGGTAGAGCTGTTTAATATCAAACTGTGGAATATTCCAGGTAGAGCAATGTTATAGGAACAAGCAGGTGATGGATGCCCAACCAAAATGTTACATAGTGCACCATTAAGCGCCTCGAATATGATATAATTTTGTGCAATTATACAGAAATAAAGGAGGTACAGCACTGTATAGACCCTATAGAATATGCTGCAAGTGCGTAAATGCGTCTTTCACCAGCGTGCAGACTTACAGATGCTGATGAGTTAGCTTGTTACTTATTAATGACCATCTAAAGGTCAAACTTAGTCTCTCAGCACATCTCTGACGCCACTGGACTTACTCAGCTCCACTTCCATTACACCACATCGCTCCAAATGGACCCCACTAGTCTCCATGTTTTGTTTAACTCTAACCTGAATACTTTTTTATTTTACTTTGTCCAGTTCCCCCTCCCAGAGACTCGACCATAGCCGTTGCCATAGGAGCGTCAGTGGGCGGGGCATTAGCGCTGCTCATACTGTCCATGGTGGTGGTGAAATGTCTGCGCCGACACCGCAAACAGGAGCTGATATCGGAGGAGAAGATGGAGGAGGAGGGCAAGCTAGAAGCAGAGGGGGTGGCAGAGGAGGAGACCAAGTAAGGAGCTATATATAATTGCTCAGCTAGCACATAACAACATTTTTGGGCTTTTAAATACAATTGCTGAATACATAAATAGATAGAATACATTAACTGAACATTTTAAACCTGATACACATTTTAGATGTTTTTTATAATTGAATTTTTATGTACATAAAATGTGTTTATTAGGGGTGTTACGATATCCAAATCTCTTGATATGATATTATCATGATATGCATCTCAACAGTATGATATTTTGGAGAGGTTAAGGACACTCTTGCTTTTAAAATACCCTGACAAGAATTTGGTGTGAATTATTTCCGTTATAATCTCAAGAATTCAAGTAAAAAACACATTTCTTCATGTTGTCTGCTCTGAAATGAATCATGGGATATGTAGTTTCCGATATTCATAAGCTGTTGCTACTATAAAACCATGCATTTAAGCAAAGGATCTTGTAATTCGATATATTGGTTATCGATATTTCGGTTATTGTTACATTCCTAGTGTTTATTATTTTAAATGGGTAAGTTCCAATCTCCATGATCAAAAACAACATTTAATGACATTCTGGAAAAGTCTTTAAACAACTCTGGATTTTATAATAATTATAATATCTCTGTATATTTTGAATATATTATTTTGATTGTCTGTTGATTTTTTTTGTATTTAGGCAGCCTTAACAGTGCCAGGCTGAGCCAATGGCCTATGGATGACCAAACCTCCCAACCTGGTATGTGCATTTTTGTTTGAAGATTACTGTTAACAACCCATATTCTATGTTGCAATAAAAAATATTTGTCGTCTGGATATGGTAACGTCAATAAAAAACTTAAACACATACAGTATAATGTGAATATGATAGTGTCGACAGCCTAAAAAGTGTTTACAGTGGTCCCTCGTTTATCGCAGGGGTTACGTTCTAAAAATAACCCGCAACAGGCGAAGTCTGCAAAGTAGTCAACTTTATTATTATATCTGTTTAAAGGCTGTAAAACCCTTCAGCACATACTTTAAACACTTTTCTCAGATAGGACAGCTACAACCCTTTTTCATCATTCTTAAAACTTATAGCTGCTGTCATCCTTATGTTATTTTCCTCCTTCTTTATGTAACAAACCGAAAATTTATTTATTCTGTAATGGCTCCTACAACTGCGTAACTTCTCTCCCTTCAGCATGTTCAGAAGTCCAACTTTTTGTGCGATGGTTTGCATCTTCCTCTGCCTTTTGGGTGCGACCGCGGGAGCCTTTGTTGGTGCAGAGCGTTTCGTCAACATTGTGGGTTTTGTCGCATTTCAGAATCAAACATTTGCTCGGGATCGAACATTTACGTACATTTGAAAGCTGAACACATTCTGTGCTGTATAGGAGAACGGCACGGAGGAGATTGATTGACAATGGTCTACAGTCCCTTAGCCAATCAGGATTCAAAAAATCTGAGAAACAGCGAGACCGCAAAAGTTGAACCGCGTTATAGTGAGGGACGACTGTATTTAGAAGAGAAGCTTAGGACAATAAAATCCAATCAGAGACGTTCATGTAGAAACAACTCTCTTTAAGTCTCACAGACAGTTGTTTCTTCATCATGGTCCAACATTAGAGTGAAAGGAGGGACTGAGTGGGTAGAGCCATGGTAGAGAAGGTTTAAAATGGACCATGCACCTCACTTGAGTAAAGGCTTACGTTGATCATTCTGAAACATGTTCTTCACTCATGGTTCAGCATCAGGTATACGGCCTTTAAACAGATTATGAACAAAAACATCCTGAAAAGACGTTGGAGTCATAGAAATGTGTCTTAATGTTATTTCTCTTTTCCAGCTCCTCTCCCTGAAGCTGTTTAGTACCCACTGCTTGAGCCTCCTATCAGCGACCATAGAGCCATTAGCATGTCTGTCAGTCACCAGTGTGCTTCCATAAGTGTGTGTGTGGGGGAACTCAACTGTGCATTTCTATAGAACAAGTCTAATGTCTTTTCTAACACAGGCCAGGGACCACTTGTGCAAATAAGTACACGCAGTTAGATTAGGTGCTGCACATCAGACAGAGCCAGAGAGGAAGAGTTAGCAATATCACAACGCCACAGTTTCTAGTTTTGATATAATGTTCGTAGTCCTAACAGGTTGTGATACAGAAAGGCATCCACTGTTATAAGTATAAATATAAAGAAGTTTATTAGTAATATTTCAGAGGTATGCTACTGTCAATCATCTTATGTTTAGAAATTATTTGGGGCCATTGCCGTTCATAAGGAGACAGCTTTTAACTCCAAACACAAAGTCACAGTAATGTTAAATACAATGTCCTTTATACATGTACTTTATGAAGTAATTAGCATATTGTGGAAAATGTATGATTAAAGGTGCACTGTGTAACTTTTCTGGTGGGTGTACGCCTGCTTATCGGAATCAAGATGGTATTGCTTTCCCTGGAATGTTCCACAGTATGGCATTAAACTTATCAGTACTGACTTAATTCAGTACTGTGGTGGTGGGATGACAGGCTTGTCTCTATGGAGATAGATAAGTTTAATACCGTATTGTGGAATATCCCAGGGAAAATGTGGCTAAAAAATGTGCTGATGGACCCTCCACTAGAAAAAAGTTACATAGTGAACCTTTAGTAAATGTATATTATGTACACATGAAATACTTTTTAAAGCATCTATGTGTTATTTACTAGACCCAGTGGATACCAAAAACTTATTTTTTGATTTAAAGGTGCACTGCGTAACTTTATTGGTGGAGAGTCTGCCATCTGCTTGTCTCCATGGAGATGATATAGCCTTGTCTTAAATGTCTCGGTACGGCATTGAACATCTTATACTTATACATCTTCTACTACTTTGCTCAACAACATAAGTTTTAATTGAGCTAAAAAAAACGTCAATTTTTACTGCAAACGGGCTCGCCTCGCCATATATCTGACAAATAACTTGTTCCTGTGGGAGACATACATGTAATGCCATACTGTGGAACATCTCCATGGGGAAAAGCAGGTGACAGCTAGCCTGATTCATCAACCGGTTTCACTTCGTGGAAACTGTCTGACCTCACAGCATTAGGATTCGTTCGCTCAACGGTAGGCGGCTACTTTTTTATTTAACAAATCGCTGCTATTTGTTTGTAACGTATGTAATGCACCGCTAACAGGGGTAACTGATACATTAAGCTTTTCCCAAATCCTGTAGGAAGAAGGGCAATAACGTCTTTCCCCTTGATAAAATTCACCAAACATTCTCTTTGTTTTGGCTTTAAATCCTCGATCTCGGGAATCGTTGCCAACACAGAATGTATGGCTTTTTGCTGATTGGTCAGAGCACGGTCTACAACTTCTGGGGTTCTTACAAACCGTTTAGTGTATTCCAATTCCTGACCTAATCGCTGGAGAGAAAGGAAACTGAGCGGAGACACTAGGTGGTGCCAGCCTGGTTAGGTGACAGCCGATCTACCACAAAAGTTACACAACGCACCTTTAAATGAATGCATGAAATATCGTATTCTTTTCCACAATATTCTGATTTATTGACGTGCATGTGTACATATTGTCATAAGAAATTAATATACCTTTATAAAACAAAGTGTCTTTAAATTTATTCTATTATGATTATTTTTTATTCTTCAAATCTTGGAAAACAGCATGCATTTTTTTTTAACTCGACGCATGGCACAAATTTTGTTGCAATACACGCATGTTCTTAAACACAAAACAATCACTTCAAGTAAGCCATTCTGAACCGGCACGGAAGAAGTATGTGAACTTTTTTTTTTCTTTTACAATTAGAATGAGGCTTTTATTTTTAATGTATTTTCATAGTTATTCTGAAAACTTAAACAACATCACTTTGCACCTTGACTTCTGTAACTAGAGTGTTTGAACTAGAACCAGTGTAGTGTGTTATGTTAGCTGTTTCTCCAAAGTCATGCCTTTACCTCAGCATAGACATTTTAAAGTGACATAATTTTGCACACCATAGAACATTTTATTCTATTCGAAGTGAGAGCATGCCGTCCAAATGGTATATACTGAATGTGTGGCATGGAGCCTATATGGTCAAATGGGACATATACGATGATATATTTATTTCAAAACATATTCTGAGCACCTTTTGAATGTTAAAGTGACCACATGAGTTCATTTGACACTAGCATGTTTAAAGCTTTGTTAATCTGAATGTACTGTGATGTGAGCTGTCACCACTTGATGTCTTTAAAAACCTTGCCTCATTTGGCTCTAGTTGGTTTCGTTAAAGGAGACATATATGCTTTATCCTGTCTTTCGAAATTTGAAATGGTTTCTGGGATTTTTACTTTTTCTGGGATGTAACAATATCCAAATCTCTCGCTACAATATTTTCACTGGAACAAAATTGTAAACATGGTGCAATTTCCTACACAAATAATACAAAAAATTAAGATTTAAAAGTGCTTATAACTTTTTTCTTCATGTAGTCTGCACTGAAAACAGAGCAAAGGATCATGGTCTATGTAGTTCCTTCTGTTTTTTTAGCTATTGTTGCACCAAAACAATGAATTTAAACAGAGAGACCTGTAATTCAATATATTGTAATGGTGCACAATATTATTGTTACATCCCTACTTTTACATTGCTCTTTCATGTCATGATGTAAACCTAGGTATATGTTGGGAAAATATATTTGTTTATCATCATTATTTAAAGTGGCTTTAATTTTGACTTAATTACCTGCGAGAATACCTGTAAATATAAATTATAGTTTTATACCAACCGATTTGCAAAGAAAAGTTGAAAAATATGTTGAAAATTACAGGAAGTAGAGAGTTTCATTTTAGAGTCCCATACTGATAACATCATACATAGGGAGAATTCTGTCCAAAAAGGCACAGACGTCAGAAACACGTTTTTCTTATATTTTTATTTGTAAAATAATAATTTCCATACACATTTAACAAGTTTTAACCTACTCTGAGGCATTGTTAGGCAACAGTTTTGGAATTCCCTAGCATGATGTTATTATTTTCAACCAGGACATACAATTT